AACTGCTCCTTTTTTTTTTTTACTGTGGTACAAAAACCACACTCACTGCCGTCAAGTAGGATCTGACTCACAGCGACCCCTCCTTGGGTTTCTGAGGCGGTATCTCTATGGGAGTAGACTGCCCAATCTTCCTTCCAAGGAGTGGGTGGTGGGTTTGAACCACCAGCCTCCTGGTTAGCAGTCAAATGCCTTAGGCTTTACGCTACCAGACTTCCGAAATTAACTTGATCAGACGCTCTGAAGTTCCATGAACTTAACACAAAGATAAGCTGCAGATCACCCCAGTTCCACCAGGAGACCCTCCCAAACACAGAGCCCCAGAGCTGAGGCCTCTCTCATCTCCCACCCCGACCCCTTTTCTCCTCACCCCAAAACCTGTTGAGGTTCAGAAAGAGCCGGGATTTACCATCCAGATTTATGACCCGTGGTCATGTCGGAGTGGGTGCACTGGCTAGTGGGTCCTTCTGACCATGCTCACCATGGGGACCCAGGTATCTGGCTCTCAGCCCACTCCTGCTGCACACCCCCGTCCCTGGGGGCCGTGAGGCCGGTCCATCTCCTCACCCGCACGGTATAGTTGAAGAACTCTGCCGTCCGCAGGAAACGCCGGTATCCCTCCGTCTCGGCTGTGGCCACGGTGATCACCAGCAGCTTCTCTGCCACCAGCAGAATTGGCGCTCAGGACCCCCTCCCTCAGCTCAGTGTCCTCCGTGCTGGCGTTCCCTCCCGCTCTCCGCAGGTCCCCATCACTTCCCACTGACCCGACTACTGTCCCTTTTCTCTTTTCCCCCACTCCCTCTGAACTTCTCCCAGTGAAAGTGGAATTGGGTCAGTTCTCGTGGGAGGGCTGGAAACCCCAGCCCAGGGTGGGGAGCGGGCAAGGGGCCGCGTGATTCCACCCCACGGAGCGCGCTGGGCAGGGGAGAGGCCGGCCATCCCCCGCTGGCAGACATGTCTGCCTGACGCCCACTCGTCTGCGGCCAGGCCCTCACCTGGGTTGACGCGGTCGCTGCCCCGGAGACGATCGGAGGCCGAGGCCGCAGAAGGCGGCGGCAGCAGCAGCAGCAGCAGCAGGAGCCGGGGTCCCGGGCTCCAGGAGGCCATGGCGGGGAGCGTGCGGGACTGCACACAGGCCCACACCGGGCTTGGCTACGCGCCTGGATCCCAGCTCCGCTAGGGGGCTCCGGGAAGGGGCGGGAGGGCGCTGCTGTGCGGCCCGGCTGCGAGGAGAAGCAGGGCTGCGGCTCCGCCCTGGAAAATAAGGCGTAACCCGGGGCTACAGAAAACTCGAGATGCAGGCGCCCCAGACAAGGAGAGGATTGTCCTGGGGCCGCGGGCGCGCGGGCTGCGACCGCGAGCGGAGGGGGCGCCGGGTCTAGAGACCGGAAGGGCCGCAGTGGCTCAGGCCGGCGGTCCTGGAGCTAAGGACTTGTCAGAGCCAGCCGGGCTCACCACCGCTTGCCAGACGAGGAAACCGGAGCCCGGGGAGGGGAAATGACCACTTGCGGAGGGTCCGGCGGAAGGCGGAGGCGTGTCCTTGCAGCAGCCGGGTCGCGAGCCGCCGGGCGGAAGACCCGGAAAACTGGGGGTGGGCGCACGCCGAGCCCAGAGGAATTGAATAAGCCCGCAGGGAGCGAGAAGGCCGGGGAGTTCTCCGAGGAACTGTGGCCAGAGGGAGCAGGGGGTTGAAGTTTCGTCAGAGGATCACTAGGGACCTCTCAGATTTCCCACTCAAGCCGTCCCACAGTCTTTGGAAGCCCGGCCCACCAGCTCTAGCCCCGGGAGGGGCTCCAGGAGCTGTTTTTGTGATGATGGCATCATCAGAAGGACCAAAGTAAAATGAAGTTTCTCGAAAGACCATCAGCACCACATCTTTAATACGACCCATTTCAGGGTTTCCACAATATACACAACTACACTGAGGCCGGAAGTAATATTGCCCCTATGAAATATGGCCGAAAGCTTGGTTGTCTCCAAGGGAACATGACGTAGTGAAGGCAAAGTCTAGGAGTTATTCTGCGCACGCTCGGAAGTTTACAGCGCCGGAAGTGAAGATGCCCCTACCAAAGCCGGTGGCTTAGAACGCGTGCGCAGCGGTCTCTTCTGTCAAGCGGGTGGTGGATATGGTGGAAAAGAAAACTTCTGGTAGGTGAGCCCCCGGCAGTTCACTCCCTTTTTCGTCCTAAATTGGAATGTGGTTTAGGATTCTCTCACCCAGTTACTCATCTTAAATCCCTTACCGGACCTTGCAAGGTCCTGGCGTTGAGGCAGCCCTCCAACCATCCATTCCGTTTTATAGATAACCTGCTCCAAGCCGGGCGCTGGGGATGGAGAGAGGAACACGATCCTTATTATCTAAGAACTAGTTTTCTAGGAGGGAGGCAGACGCGAAGACCTACCGTTGCATTTCAGAGTGATAGAAGGAGCATTGGGCCTGAATGCAGGGAGAAGCGGCACCCATCCCAGCTTTTGGAAAGGAGGGACCGGGATGGTTTGGCGGGAAGGAAAACGCTTGAATTAAATCCTTTATATATATTTGGCACAGAGAAGTTAGTCTCCCATCAACACTTTCTACACAAAGATGTTTAGTGACATTGGTTACAATCTTGACAGCGCGTGAATAGTCTCCTTACAGGCACACCGCGTTTTAGAGTTTGGTTTACTGCGTTTCTCAGATACTGTGTTTTCTTTAAACAACTTGAAGGCTTGTGGCACCTCTTCCAGGCGAGTCTAATCGTGCCATTTTCCCAACAGCATGTGCTCATTTTGTGTCTCTGTCACATTTTGGTAATTCTCACAATATTTCAAAATTTTTCATTATGTTATTGCACACTTGACTACAGTGTAGTGTAAACATAATTTTAATAAGCACTGAGAAACCAAAAAATTCATGTGACTCACTTTATTGCGATACTAAATTTATTGCAGTGGTCTGGAACCAAACCTGTAAGACCTCCAAGGTATGCCTGTATTTCTATTCTGGTTCTGTTTTCCATTCATCTAGTTTCCCTGTGTGACAAGAGTGTGGGGGTGATGTCTAACCTCCTCTAACTTCACAAGCGTGGAGGATCAATATCAACAATAACGACCCAAGGCTGATTCCTATGAGGTGGAGTTCAGACATGTAGCTGTCCTCCAATCTTTTTTTTTTACCAGTTCTGACACCAGCTGCCCTTTCCACACCATTCTCTGTTTCTCTGCTGAGTTTGCTAATTTATTGCAGTGGCCCCACAGAACTCCCACATAATACTCATGATTATGGGGTTTATTAGGTCGGTGTCAAGTTACCATTCAGGATCAGGAATGCTAGGAATACAGTTCTTCAATCAGGACAGCCTGCCCTCAGTCAAGCCTCTCTTTGGCTCTTGGCTTCTCGGCCTGGTCTCCACCCTGCTCTGGCAAGTGTTACAAAGGTCTGTTAGCTCTGCCAATAGGTATACCTCAGTGCACCCCACTCTGCCAACAAGCCTCTTGCCCAAAGGCACTCAGCTTTCTTGTTCCATGGGCCGGCAAACCCACCTACTCTGTCTCGTGCCATTTCTCCAGTACTGCTGCTGCTATGTGTTGGTTGTCTCTGCCACTCATCTCTGCTGTCTCTCTGCCAAGGAGGTTCAGCACAGAGATCTTGGGTCCAAGGACACACTTCATTCCACCTCCAGCTCTTCTCTCTTGATGGCAGTGATATCCCTGCTTCTGCCTCTAGGAGGGCTCACTTGAAGCCTGGCAGAATGACAAAATGGACCATTCCCAACACTAGGGGTCTGTACACCTTATTTCTGTGGCCCCAACTCCACAAGGGTGCCATCCACCTTATTCACGTTATGAACTAATCCCCTTGGTGGGCTACAGGCATCTCATGTTGGCATAGTTCCACCCAGTCATCTGGTAGGAGTCGCAAAGACCATGGCTAGAAGGGCCATATTAAATACTTCATTGTACCCTACCCTGCCCCCTTACATTCTCATCTTTGTTCTGTAATAATTACTGACCATTTGGTCTCATATTGGTGATTTTTGTGAAAGGAGCACAGTACTTACAGCTGATACTGTTTGGTGAGCCAATCTGTTGTTTACCTACAAGTGACCTCAGGGGTTTGTTTCAGTTCATGGTTTGAAAGAGGATCTCAAGGTGACAGTCTTGGGGAGTCCCCAATCTCAAACCATCTGTGTTTTTTTTTTTTTTTTAGGAATTTGAAGTTTTGTTCCACATTTTTCTTGCATTCTGTCAGTGTCCATCTATTGTGGTAGTGATTAGAATGGCCAGCAGCGGGTGCTGGGCACCATCTAGTTCTTCTGGTCTCAGGGTAGGTGAGGCCGTGGCTCATGGAGACGATTTGTCCTGTAGACTAGTTTCTTCTTTGAGTCTTGGGTTTCCTTCTTTCCCTTTTGCTCTGGATGAGTGCAGACCAATAATTGTATATTAGATGGCCATTCACCAGCTTTTAAGAAGCAGACACTACTCACAAACTAGGATGTAGAACATGACTCTATGAACTGTCTTATGCCAGCTGACCAAGATGTCCCGAGACTATGGTCCGCATCCTTTAAACCAGAAATCCAATCCTGTGAAATGTGTGGTTATGACTAAGAAGTATCTGTTAACTGTGCCCCTTAAGTTCTTCATTGCATGTATATAGGAATATATGTGCATTAGGATTGGGTTGAGCAGTGGGCCTTGGGGGCTGGGTCCATCTGGACTGGGGGAGAAGACAGGTACTCATGCAATTCTGTCTTAGGGTGGGCTGAAAGATGGGCATTTCTGCATATGAGTGGTCCCCTCTTTCCTTTGAGATAGGAAATAACACTGCTGAGTGTGAAGGCCAAGTGCATTAAGGTCCCAGTCAAGCCTGGAAGCCCTGAGCCTTGGTTGGCACGGTTATGTGCTTTCTGCCAGCAGCGAGAAGTCTCAAGGCAGCATTTCATTGGCTGGCTCTGGGAGTGGTAGGAAAAGCTAGAGCCAATGGGCTAGAAAAGAGTCTTGAGTGGCTGAAATAATAGTCGTAGTTGGGAAGGAAGAAAGTCAGAAGGGAGAAGAAATTGGGCCACGGGCTTGGTGATCAGGCTAAGATCACAGAACTGTGGTTCCCTGCCTCAGTATCCTCCACACACTGCCTGGAGCCAGCACTGTCCCCGCTTCCCTCTTCTCTGTGCAGCCCCCACTCTGCTTCTCTCATCATTCTCGCCCTGCCCCATCTAGTTCGCTCCCAGGACCCCGGACAGCGGCGGGTGCTGGACCGGGCGGCCCGGCAGCGCCGCATCAACAGGCAGCTTGAGGCACTGGAGAATGACAACTTCCAGGACGATCCCCACGCGGGACTCCCCCAGCTCGGCAAGAGGCTGCCTCAGTTTGACGATGACACAGACACTGGTGCGGTTGGTGGGAGGAGGACAGGGAGACAGGGCTGAAGGGAAGGGGCAAGAGTCCGTCAAGGTCAGAGCTGTGAGAAGGCGAGGCGAGGGGCACACGGCTCAGGAGCTCCTTCTGGCTCTGCCAGCGACTGGCCTGACTGCGAGCCAACTGCTGTCCCCCTTCTGAGCCTCCTCAGCCTCTCGTGGACACAGAGCAGAGCAGACGGAGTCAAGTTCCGAGCTCCCTGCTGGCTCTGACGTAAACGCCTTAGATTTGGGGATGATGAAGACAAAGTTAAGCTGCGATTTGAGAAGCTTGGGGGAAACGGGAAAGGAAACAGAGAGAGGCAGACTTAGAACCCCGGACAAGCAGGTATTGGGGATGATGAGACAGAAGAATGGTGTCTTTCTTGAAAAATGTCAGAGAACTCATTGCTGTTGACCTCTAGGTAAGAAAAAGAAGAAAACGCGAGGTGATCATTTTAAACTTCGCTTCCGAAAAAACTTTCAGGCCCTGTTGGAGGAGCAGGTGAGAACAGAGCTGGCCTGGGGGGACCCAGCCAGGAAGGATGGGGCTGGGGAGTCCGTGCACCCTACAGATGGTTGCTGCTTAGGTGGGAGGAGGGGTCACAGAGCTTGGCCCCCTTGTCTCTGCAGAACCTGAGTGTGGCTGAGGGCCCCAACTACCTGACAGCCTGTGCGGGACCCCCATCCCGGCCCCAGCGCCCCTTCTGTGCTGTCTGCGGCTTCCCCTCC